CCGCCTAATCTTTTAGTAGTCTCTCCGCCTCTCACCTGCCTCCCCACACGTCGTCCCTTCGGGGTACAGTCATTAAATCTCGGCTCCATTCGCCATGCGGAACATACCTGAGAAATATTAAGTGCGCATGTTCATCAATTAAACTCGAGGTGAAGAAAGCATGGCGGATGGAGGCGATCGAAGGAAAAAAGCTCTTCTGTTCTGTTATCTTTCAAAAAGGAGACAAAAAAGAAATGAATTGGCCCGTAGAGCAGCAATGAATCGGCTATCTACGGAGATAATGTCACCAGAGATATTCACGGAGATACCTAGCCCCAGTAGACGGAGGAGGAGGAGGGCAGAATTTTTGCATATGCAGTCTCGTCAGAGGGCGCAGTTCGTTCTGATACTGATGTTTGCCTTGTTCCTTACGCCTGATCGAACTGGAAGGGGGGGTGTTTTCACAATTTTGATCCCAATTCATAGCTGCTCTACAGGCCAATTCATTTCTTTTTCTCAGGTAGCTTCCACACAGTGAACGGAGCCGAGATTTAATGACTGTACCCCACAGGGATGACGTGTGGAGAGGCGTGTGAGAGGCGGAGAGACTATTAAAAGATTAGGCAGTTTTCCTTTCATGTATGTCTGCCATATTTAGTCCCAGGATTTGTAAAGCCTGGCTCAAATCATTGTGAATGCGGTCTTAGACAGCAAGCTTTGCAGTGGATGGCCATATTTGACTCCCGGACTAGTTAGTCCCCTATTCTGAATGGTGCCTAAGTTGCATTGCTTCATGAGGTTGCAAGTGCAAGCTCATAAATGTAAGAGTGACAGCTGGAAGAAAGAAATGACTGTGATGTTCTTAAAAAAGAATGAGTCCATATGTTCAAATTATTTTTATCTAAATTTTTATTAGTAAATAATATCAATAGTTTGTTTTTTAATTTTATTTACATGGTTGGAAAATATTGCTTAATAAGCAGTACTTTATATAGTATATAAATTGTTATGATTTTTTTTATCTCATCAAAATATAGTTAATTTTTCAATATATTATGTGATTGGCATTATACTTATTCTCCACTGTATTATTGTTCTATGCATACTGTTACTAAAATATCTCTTTAACTTTCATATATTATTATACTATATTATTTTAAGATTTTATATATTATTATATGATTTTAATTTTTCCAATGCATAAGAAGTAGTAATTGGCATTATACTTATTCTCAACTGTATTATATTGTGATCTGTATGTACAATGATGTCTGCTTTTGCTGCTTTACAAGATAATTTGGTCATTAATACTATGCAGCATTTTAGTTATGATTTAATATGCTCCATCTTTTTCAAGTGACTAATGCATTAGTTGTATTTACATTTTCCATGAGTATTAATATGAGCATTTGTATGGTGTGACTTGACAAAGAGTCCTATTCCCATTCATTTTTGTATAGGTTAGCCTTGCTCCAGATTTTGATCCACTTAGTCCAGGCTAACCCTAACCATTATAACTAAATGGAGGGCGGACTTTCTGTTACACGGACCCTCAGTTTTGTTACAGGCCAGTGTAAGAAATTAAGGCTGGACCGTCTGCCCGGGGGAGACAACTTTTAGAATGGGCAGAGAAGTTTTCCCAACCGGCAGGCATTCTAGCCAGCTAATTTTCAAGATGGCTGAGCTTTCGGTCCAGCAACTTATTTTCCTAAGTGGCAAACACTGCAGGCCAGGTAAAGATTTTTAGAAATGTATTTGTGTGAAATGTGACCTATAACGTACTAAGTATTAACAAAGTTGAGATATGCACAAAATGAACAAAATGTCAGCTTTTGCCGTGATTTAAATAAAAACACAACGACATCATTTGCTGTTTTTCTTTTTCTTTCAATAAATTATAATTCAAATATAAAGCAATCATATTTATTGCCCAGTCATGTGCTTCTAACAGTATCCCCTTTGAGCTTTGTCCAGTAAGTGAAAGGTAGTTACTATTAACTAGAATGACAAGAAATATTCCTGGTACTTCGGTAAAGTTGACTTACATACAATGTCCTTTCTTGGGTGAATTCAAGAACTGGTGAAGAACTGCAGTTGGTGCTTTATGTAAATACTTTTTTTGCCATGCTATTAATGTCTGAGTATAAGTTTGAATTACATTAAAGCATGTTCGTTGAAAAACCAGTATATACACCGATGCTTAAGATTACCACACATTGAATTCTTGGTTTGAATTTTTAAATTAAAAACTTAGACTCCCAAAGCGGTGTCAATGCTTGCATGTATTTTATATTTGGAAAGGTTGAAGTAGATAAATTGGTGCGCTATGCACTGTTGTTTAAAGAAAATTTTGAAATGTCCAATGGATAATCAGTCAAATAGCCCCACGCGCAAATTCTAAGTCTACGTAGACACTTCTTGCCTAAAAAAATTAATTCTTCAAGTTTTGATGTATTCACTTGATATTTTTCTTTTAAAGCCCGGTTAATCTTAACTAACCAAACGCTTGCATTGGAAATGGCACATTTTCGGAG